GGGAATGCAATCAAAACCACAGTGAAATATCACCTCACACAGTCAGAGTGACTATCATAAAAAACTCAACAAAGAACATGTTGGCTGGATGAAAGAAGGTGAAGGGATTAACCAAAGAACATATAGGCATAACTCATAGACAAACACAATAATATGGTGATGGCCAGAGGGAAGGAGGAAGGAGGCTGGGTGAAGGTGGGTAAAGAACAGGCAGAATTGGGGACATAAGTTATAGTGACAACAATAAAAATGTTAAAAAGCACATGTAGGTGAGGATGTAGAGAAAAGAGAGACCTTGTGCATTGTGGTGGGATTGGAAGTTGATGCTGCCACTATGGAATCCAGTATGGAGATTTCTCAAAGCACTAAAAATAGATCTTTCATATGACCCAGCAATCCCACATCTGGGTATTTAACCGAAGGAAAAACCCCCCACTAATTTGAAAAGATATATGCACCCTTATGCTCATTGAAGTATTATTTACAATAGCCAAGATATGTAAGCAATCTAGATATCCACTAACAGATGAATGAATAAAGTACATGTGGGATATTACTCAGCATAGAAAAAAATGACATCTTGCCATTTGCAACAGCATGTATGAACCTCAGGGGTATATTCTAAGCGAAATAACTCAGACAGAGAAAGGCAAATACTGTATGGTTTTACTTATATGTGGAATCTAAAAAACAAAACAAAACAAATGAACATACAAACAAAACAAGAAAACACTCGTAGAAACAGAGACCAAAGAGAATAGTTACCAGATGGGCAGGGTGGAGGGTGGCAAAAAAGGTGAGGGGGAATATGGTCAATAATATTGTGATAAGTTTGCATGGTTTTCAGAGAAGTCTTAAAATATTTGGATTCTTTACCCACTCTGATTTAATAAATTTTGTTTTTGGATTTTGAACATGCTATGGCAAAATATTATTTGTAATTTAATTTCTTCCTCCATTTTCTGTGAGGAGTTAAACCTGGTAGTTGTACTATGTATTTCTTTTTAAATCCTTCCCAGAGGACATGTTTAGAAAGAGGAAGAGATGGAGAGAGAGAGAGAGAGAGAGAGAGAGAGAGAGAGAGAGAGAGAGAGAGAGAGAGAGAGATTGAAGTGAGAGAGAAACATAGATCAGTTGTCTTTCACATGTGCCCCAACTGGGGATAAAACCCAAAAACCAGGTATGTGCCCTGACTGTGAATCACAACCAAAACCTTTCAGTGCAGGACACTCCACCCAACTGAGCTACTCCTGCTGGGCTGAACTGTGTATTTCATTGGTTTAAAACCTAGTCAATTATAAATCAGGGGTTCACAGTTCAATTCCCTGTCAGAGTACATGTCCAGGTTACAGTCAGGGCATGCAGGAGGCAGCCAATCAGTGATTCTCTCTCATCATTGATAATTCTATCTCTCCCTCCCTCTCCTTTTCTCTCTGAAATCAATAAAAATATACTTAAAAAATAAAACCTAGCCACTAATCAACCTGATAATTACTTGCACATAACTGGATACAATATTAAAAAGCAGATGTCCTACTAGAGTGTGGACAGAAGGGTAATGGGTATAAGTTAGTCTAAAGCTAGAAAGCTATTAGGAACTAGTAATAAATAATAAAAGTAGAAAATAAGGGAGTGAGAGAGTGATCAAGAAAGAGAGACCGGCAACTCAGCATCTAGGAGACTGAGAAAATATATGATGGAAAATAAACATGTCTAATAAGAATTTTCAAATGAAATGCAGTGCTTTGTGAGATAGAAACTCACTCTCCTTTTCTCTAAGAAAATCAATTAAGGCTGCATTACTCACAAATACGAATGTGGTGAAGGTAAGATACTTAACTTCTACCTGTGTCTGACTCAATATAAAAAATAATAATACCTCAAAGCTTATTTGTTGTCTGTTTGGTAGGGAAATGAGATAATTTAAGTGAATAATCAAGGCCTGGTAATCAATAAAATCTTTAAAAAATATCGCTACAGGTATTCTTATTAAAGAGTTTAAGATACAAAATATAAATAGATTCAGTATTTGGATACAATAAAGGCAAGTGAAAAGAATTTCCGTAAGTAGACAATTTGTTTCACTATTTGCACTGAAATATCCTATATAATAAAAACCTAGGTGGAGTCACGCCCTTGTGCAGCACCCTCGCATGATGACGTCACAAGATGGCCACGCACATAGCTGTGGCCGCTTTGTGCTGTGAGGCCCAGGGGTCCTGCAGCTCTGTGTGGTGCAGAGGAGGCCAGTCCTGGTGCCTCCAGCACCTTGTGTGGAGGAGGTGGGTCCCAGTGGAGGAGGCAGTTTGCGGCAGGGGAGGGCAGTTGTGGTTGATCAGGTTGGCAGGGGAGGGGAGTTCAGGGTGATCATGTCGTAGAAGAGGGCAGGTGGGGGTGATCAGCCTGGCAGGAAAGTGGTTAGGGGGTGATCAGGCTGACAGACAAAAGCAGTTAGGGGCAATCTGGCAGGCAGGCAGGCGAGCAGTTAGGAGCCAGCGGTCCCAGATTGTGAGAGGGATGTCTGACTGCCGGATTGTGAGAGGGATTTCCTAACCAGCAGTTGGACATCCCCTGAGGGGTCCCAGATTGGAGAGGGTGCAGGCCAGGTTGAGGGACACCCCCCCCCACACACACACACACACGAATTTCATGCACCGGGCCTCTAGTGTTTAATAATTTTAATGACTATTTTAATGTATATCAATTATAAATTCAACACATCTTGATGTCTACATATTGTCCTATGTTGTAACTAGTACTTTGTTCATTCTTTCTTTTTCCTTCTACCCCAATTTCATATATTCTCATCTTTCACTCCTGGCATTAAATGCACACATAGTTTATGTCCCTATTTATAATTGTGAATAAATAAGACTAACTTGATAAATGTAAAGTTCATATTATACATGTGTATATATAGTATGTGAATATTATATTCTAGTTATAAAATTTATATCTCTCATTGAAGAAAATGTGACAATAAACAAGTTAAAAATATCCAATTCCTGATTTCCACGTATTTATTTTCTTTGTTTATAAATATTCTCACAATGAAAAGATGTCATATTCACAAATATAGGCAAAGGAATTTAGTAATATTAGGATTTCATGAAAGATTTTTTTTTAATTGATTTCAGAGAGGAAGGAGAGGGAGAAAAAGATAGAAACATCAATGATGAGAGAGAACCATTGATTGGCTGCCTCTTGTAGGCCCCACACTGGGGATCAAGCCCCCAACCCAAGCATGTGCCCTAACTGGGAATCAAACCGTGACCTCCTGGTTCATAGGTCAATGCTCAACCACTGAGCCACTCCGGCTGGGCATGAAAATAAATGATATGGTAAAGGAAAGTAGTCAAAAGCAATAAAAGCAACTCATAGCAAATATTGCTATGATATTAGTAGCAATGGGCCATGGGAAGGGTTTCTGTCAATTCAGAGTCAATATTGGGATAAAACTCCTCATCAGTCTTTAACATATTGTTTATTTCAGAAGACAATCAAGTCATACTAGAAATCCAATGCAGTGTTTTGTAGCATTTCATTCTGGGACAGTAAAGAACTCTTCTCTAGTTTGCCAAAATTCAGGACCTGTAAGCACATGAACCTTCCTGCGGTTTAAGTCCAGAATCTTTATGAGAAAAAAATGGACAATGATAGAAGAGTCATATTATAAATCAAACTCTCACACACTCGATATACATCTTGTTTATACATTTGCCTCATTTACCTCAGCCATTTTGTTTTTTAATCTTTATCAATATTTATAAAAATGAATCATCTGTATCTGTTAATGATGCCTCTCTTTGCCACTCTGCTTACTTAATGAACTCCCCTGAGCCAACAGGAAAGACACAGATAAAATAAGTCCAGTTCCACTCGTGTGACATATATAAAGAAGAACATTCCTATTTCCTATTTCCTATTTCTTAAAATAGCATTTGCAGGAAAATATCACAGTCTCTGAAGTATAAGGAAACTATATTTAGGTTTTATAGGTGTGTAATCATAGAATTACAAAATATTTATTTGAAATGTTTCCATAAATACAAAGAAAATCTTTAGTAAATGTTTTTATTTATTTATTTACTTGTCCACCCAGGTGTAATTGGATCTCAGGTGAGAGACAAAAAGCCGAAATGAGTTGTATGATAATATGTTCCAAAAATTTTACAGTACCAGGAATAAAGGATATTGTCAACTATTACTAGTCTAAAAAAAAAGAGAGAGAGAGAACTATGATCCCTGAGAGTCATGAAAAAGTGAAGTTTCCACACTTTTTCTGACCATACAATAAAAATAAAATAAATTGCTAACTCAATTTATCAACTTTGAAATTAGGTAAATATTTAAGCCTATTAGACAGTTAAATTTGAGACTAAATCAAGAAGAACCAAGAAGTAAGTAAATTTATTATTCTTCAATATAATATTCTATTTCATTCAAATGTTTAAAAATATTATTTGCATATGTATTTTATATTAAAAGTTAAGTAATTGTTTAATATCAAGAAGACTATTAATGGAGTCCTAAAGCAGGAATTCAGAAATAAGTTTTGGGTTGTTCAATTACTTTTTCTAAGTTTAATGGTATTCTGTTATAGAAATCAGATTATAAAAAGTGATTCCATATTAGAATACCTCCTAACGATCTGTTAGAATATTTTAAAAGGAGCTGAATATTTTAATAAATACTTGCAAGCTTAATTTTAAAGAAACATTAGAAAAATAGCTTTAGTTTAAATATTAGCACAAGATTTTTTCCATGGTCTATGTGTTTTCAAAGAAAAGAGATTATATTTAATTTCAGTTAATATTCATTACTTGAATGTAAGGTTGATGGAAATTGGAGAGAGTGGCTGAAGGGAAACGTGTTTTTGAATTTCATAGATTATTTATCATCACAGATATTTTTAAAATTCCATACTCAATTCTCAAACCTGTTTTAACTTTTTTATGTTCTGTAGGGGAATATTTGTAAAGCAGGGGGAAGGATCCGCAATGAGAAATCGCACAGTACCCTCAGAATTCATTCTTCTAGGACTGTCAGACGATCCCGAGCTTCAGATTGTGATTTTTCTCTTTTTAGTTATCACATATATATTAAGTGTCTCTGGAAATTTCACCATCATCACTCTCACCTTGGTGGATTCTCATCTACAGACCCCTATGTATTTCTTCCTCAGGAACTTCTCTGTATTAGAAATATCCTTTACAACTGTCTGTATTCCTAGATTTTTAGGCACAATTATCACCAGAGACAAAACTATTTCATACAATACTTGCACAGCTCAATTGTTTTTCTTCATCTTCATGGGTATAACTGAATTTTACCTTCTAACTGCCATGTCCTATGACCGCTATGTAGCCATCTGCAAGCCCCTGCATTATACAACCATCATGAACAAAAGAGTCTGCATACTGCTTGTCTTTTGTGCTTGGCTGGCAGGATTCTTAAATATCTTCCCACCAGTTATTCTTTTTCTCCAGTTAGATTACTGTGGCTCCAATGTCATCGATCACTTTGCTTGTGACTATTTCCCCCTCTTGCAATTATCCTGCTCAGACACCTGGCTCCTGGAAGTGATTGGTTTTTACTCTGCAATAGTGATTCTGCTTTTCACTTTGGCGTTAATAATTCTATCCTACACGTTCATCATTAGGACGATTCTAAGACTGCCTTCTGCCAGCCAGAGAAAAAAGGCATTTTCTACATGCTCCTCTCACATGATTGTCATTTCCATCTCTTATGGAAGCTGCATATTCATGTATGCCAACCCTTCAGCAAAAGAAAAGGCATCATTGACCAAAGGAGTAGCTATTCTGAATACTTCGGTTGCTCCTATGATGAATCCGTTTATATATACCCTGAGGAACCAGCAAGTAAAGCAAGCTTTTAAAGATGTTTTTCAAAAGGTTATGTTTTTCTCTGGTAAGTGAATGTACTAGTAACATTAAATGGATAAAGTTCTTATCAATGACTTCTATTATTCATACTCTCTCAAAACACTCTTTGCTTTATTACAGTTATTTTCCCTTTGTTATTTCCATATTAAAATTTCTCAAATGTTCTACTCAATAAATTTGAAAAAGCTAGATATTGTTTCAGAGTATTCTGCCAAATATTTTATTCAAATGTACTTTGGTGAAGTAAAAAAAAAAAATCTAATGATTATGATTTAAGTAAAAGCCTCTTTTGAAGATGTATAGGGCATTTAATTGGCAAGAATGTCAAGATAGATGTGAAATTCTGAACTTACCATTCTTAGCAGGTAATAAAAGTGAATGCTATTAGAAACTTTTGATTTTATTTGGCATTTGCATGAAATCAAATTGTCACCATCACCAGGAGGTTGGGAGCAAAATATAAACATCTATATAAATATATTAAATGATTGTAACTCATATATATTAAAATTCTTATCCTATATAATAAAAGCATAGTATGCAAATTGTCCCCTCGACTGGGAATTGTCTGGGAGTTCGACCAGGGGGCAGGGTGGACAGGGGGAAGGGAGGGAGGCCCTGGCCAGCAGCTGGCAGCCGGAAGCCACTAGGACCTCTAGTTAATAATAATTATAATATAATGAGAAGGAGAAGAAAGAGAGATAGAAAAAAAAATCTTTTCAGCAATTACCAGATGCTAGAGTTATTGTTTTCTTTATATTGGCTCATTTAATCCTGCCAATAACTTTATGAGGCACCTACAGTTATTATCATCTTTTAGTCAGAGGTATTTTTCTTCAGTTAGATTAACTACCTCCCAAAATTAAAATGTATGTAAACAATGTATGTAGAGAACAGAATGTAAAATATATCAAGTAAAATGCATGAAACTATAATAAACTGGTAAGAGTTCAACTTTCTGGAGAACTGAACTTTAGTTGGAAGATCTACAACTGACAGGGATTTTGGAATTAAGGAAAGAGAAATTTTAAACATCTGTTTAAAATATTCTGCACACTCTACTTCAATTAGGCAAACTGTAAGCAATATTTATTTTAAAAAACCTCTTAGAAAGTGAGTATTATTATTTCTAATTTACAGGTGAATGAACAGGAGGAAACTGAGGTCCAGAGTTCTTTGTCACAGAGATTGTAGCTTTCAAACTGGGATTTAAATCACTTTTCTTTAATCTCAAAATCCAGACTAATAGGATTACTTTCATTTTTGTACTGGCTTTCACTAGTAATAATTATGTGTAGAAGTTCATGTTAAATATTAGAATAGTTAAAGGACTTTTGAATGTGTGATTAACTCACTTAGGTTTTACTTACTGATGACAGGTGTTGGGGAGATAGTGATGACAAATAATGACTCTTGCCCTAGATCAGTGGTTCTCAACCTTGGCTCACATTAGAATCACCTGGGAATCTTTTTAAAATTCTGATTTCTGGCCTCAAAATCAGAATTTTAAAAAGATTCCCAGGTGATTCTAATGTGCAGCCAAGGTTGAGAACCACTGCCCTAGATGGTTTTGCTTAGTCACGCAGCGGTTCTCAACCTGTGGGTAGTGACCCCTTTGGCGGTCGAATGACCCTTTCACAGTGGTCGCCTAAGACCATCCTGCATATCAGATATTTACATTATGATTCATAACAGTAGCAAAATTACAGTTATGAAGTAGCAACGAAAATAATTTTATGGTTGGGTCACAACATGAGGAATTGTATTTAAAGGGCCAGAAGGTTGAGAACCACTGGTAGTGGATAGAGCATCCGCCTGCAGACTGAAGGTCCTTGGTTCGATTCCAGCCAAGGGCATGTACCTCGGTTGTGGGCTCCTCCTGGGCCCAAGTCCTGGTCAGGACTTGTGCAGGAGGCAACTAATCAATGTGTTTCTCTCACATCTATGTTTCTCTCTGTTCTACTCTCTCTTCTACTCTCTTTCTAAAAATCAATGGAAAAATATCCTCAGGTGAGGATTAGAAATAAATTTAAAAATAATTATTCTTGCTCTAAATAATCTCAAATTCTAACAGGAAGCAAAATATAACATAATTAAAATTTAATTTGATAAATGCAACAAGTTAGGTCTAAGTTGCCTATAGCCTGATAATATTATCATTGACAAAAAATTTCAATTTTACTGCCTCTTCTAGCAGAATTATGGTCGATTGCACAATAATTGCTAATTATTTGATCATTTTAACCCTTGAGTCACAAATATTTGATAAACCTTGTCTGCTTTGGCTGTCATCTTAGTTTTCACTTCTATTTTCTCTGTTGGTCATTATCTTGTGTATTATTAAACAATCACATTATTTCCTGAGTAAAAAAGGTTACTGGAAATTGAATTATAGAAAAAGTTTCTCCAATACAGCTCCCTCTAGCCCCAACTTGTATTGTGAATCGTGAATTGATCATCAATTCAGTTTTACCTGTGTACCACTTTTTATCTGGTATTCTCTCAGATCTGTTGCAGGCATATACTAGTCTTTTGGATTAATATAATATACCATTCCATCCTATAGGCTTTCAGGTAACAGATAAAATGTAAACATTTATGAGTTAATCTTTTTTAAAGCATATCAAGTACTATCTATACTAATAAAAGAGTAGTATGCTATTACACCAGACATCTTCCGAACTATGGGGAAGTCCTTCCTGACAAAGCCAGCCAGGCAAAGCCACCTGCCAGTGGCCCTGGGCACCAGAGCCTGGGGCTGGCTGTAGCCTGGGAGATGGACAAGCCGCCCGCCCCACGGTCCCGGAGGAGATGGAAAAGCCACCTGTCTCGCAGTCCTGGGCCACAGCCAGCCTGAGTAGCCGCCCGCACCGTGTGTGTGTATGTGTGTGTGTGTTTGTGTGTGTGTGTGTGTGTGTGTGTATGGGGGGTAAGTGCGGGGGGGGGGGGCGGGGGGGTGAGACAGAGAAGCTGCCCATCCTGAGGTCCCAGGCTCAGGCAGCTGGAGAAGCCGCCAGCGCTGTGGTCCAGGGCACCAGTGCCTGCGGCCCGGGAGATAGGTTCCTTCTTCTTCCACTGCAGTCATTACTCCAATATTCCCCTTCTGAATTTCTCTCTGCTGCTCCAACCCAACTCCACTTTTCATCTGAAGGATAGGGAACAGAGAGAGCAATGTTAAAAGCTTACATTTTTAAGCAGGTAAGGTTGGTACTTATATAAATGGAAAACTAGAGTCCTTAAGGTAACAAAGGCTAGAAGGGAGGGGACAGGGACAGGGCAAGACATATTATATCCAGCAATCCATGTGGGTACTGAAAACTTTTCAGTGATGACAATCAGTGAATATATGAATCAACAAAAATAGTTGACAGAGACAATTCTTCCATCTTTGAAAGTATCTATATCAAGTCTGTTTAAATAGATTTTCATCTGAATAATATAACATACTAGAGGACCAGTGCACAAAATTTGTGCATGGGGGAAGGTGTCCCTCAGCCCAGCCTTCACCCTCTCCAATCTGGGACCCCTCGAGGGATGTCCGACGGCCTGTTTAGGCCAGATCTCACAACCCAGGACTGTTGGCTCCCATCTGCTCACCTGCCTGATTGCCCCTAACTGCTTCTGCCTGCCAGCATGATCACCCCCTAACAACTATTCTGCCAGCCTGATCGACACCTAACTGCTCCCCTAACAGCCTGATTGCCCCCAACTGCCCTACCTGCCAGCCTGGTCACCCCCAACTGCCCTCCCCTGCCAGCCTGGTAGCCCCCAACTGCCCTCTCGTTCAGGACTGATCGCCCACAACCGCCCTCCCCTGCAGGCCATCTTGTGGCGGCCATCTTTGACCACCTGGGGGAGGCCATCTTGTGTGTTGGAGTGATGGTCAATTTGCATATTACTCTTTTATTAGATAGGATTCTGACAAGACCACCACCACCAATGTGGTCAGTGTTGTGCTGGTAAATGTTTAACAACTGGCTCTCAATCAAATAAAACAAAACGCTGATTTATAATATTGGCCAATTTCTGTGGCATAAATACTCCATCAATGGCTGATTTCGGCTGCTAATGTGATGCCACTAAATGCAGAGCTGAGGAGAAACATGCAGTAAAACACTATTATATTCCACCAGAAAGATCCAAAAGATATAAATAATGTCAAGAGTTAGAATAGTAAAGTGTAGTAACTAATTGAGGGGTGATGAATTTAGAGTATGTATTACCTTTGGTTTTCATGTAATTTATTCAATTTTAAGATTATATAATTTAATAATTTTTAATAATGACCATGTTTAACAATCAGCTTGCAAAATTCCTGAAAATTTGTGAGCCAGGAAGAGCAGGCTTTAGCACAATACTGAGTGGAGTATAATGGTTAAAGGGCATGGTTCATGGATTTGAAATGAGACTCAGCCACTTTCAGGCTTTACTGGTCAAGTTACCTGATCTCTCTATACCTCAGTGTTTTCATCTGTGAAATTATAGTACATACTATATAGAGTTGTTGCAAAGATAAAATGAAATCTGTGTATGACACAGCACAGTACCTGAAATAATAATTCACTCAATTTGTTATAAACTGTTACTACCTCAATATGTTATTGACAAAATTACTCTACTCATGCTATAAGAATGAAATTTTATTGATGAGAAAAATATCTTATTTTGAGATCTACATGGAGACAGTCAATTTTGCTTCCTAGGCAGTAGATGTTATTCTACCACTAGAAACTAAAAAGGGAAAAAATGACCTCAATCAACATGATTGAGGCAATGTATTATTAGCTGGATCATAAAGCAAAGAGAATGCCATACATTCTTGGATACATTTGCAGTAAGAAGCTTCACCTCCGGTATTAATTCTGATCAACTAAGCATCAGACTTAAGATGAATGGTGAGAAGGAGTCTGAGGCTGCTTCTAGACTTAGCAGGAATAGAACTTTAATACATAAGTAACAGTTACTATGGTTAATGATGGTGAGAAAAACACGCCATGACCTATACCAGTGATGGCGAACCTTTTGAGCTCAGT